AATGCTTTTAAAAATGTTTCAAAGTGTGAAAAAAGTGACCCAGTAAATTGAAATAAGCCACGATTCTGAGTGAGTTTGTGCAAAGACGACCATAAATATGAAGCACCTAAATGTAATTCAGCCGTCACTGGTTTATCTTTATGCATTTGAAGTTTAAAGGTTGCTTCTGTAAAATAGTTTTTCTTAACAGACCAAAAAAACCAAATTGAAAATGTTGCGTTTGTGTACAGGTGGAACACAAAAACGAAACCCTTGGGATCTGAAGGGCAAGGTCAGCGACATGGAGGATAAGGTCCGTAACTACCAAATAAAAGTTAAGACTCTGAATCAGGAAAATGAGGTTCTGCAAGACTCGGTGTCCCAGAGCCAAAGAAAAATTGTGCAAGTGGAGAAGGAGCTTCAGATACAGAGGAGCCAGATTGGGTATGAGGACTATTTCATTTGGAAAATAAACGTTCAGTTAGGAATTTTAATCCTGAAATTGTCGTGTTAATCATTGACGACTTGACTTTGCTTTTATCTTCTGGGATTTTTAGGGAGTATGAGAGGAAGCTGCAGGTGTTGGCAGGAGTCCAGGATGAGCTGGAGAAAGTCTTGAGCGATAAGAACTTTCTTCAGAAGGAGCTCACCAACTTGGAGGGGAAATACAAAGTGATGGAGACTCTCCGAGACAGCCAAGAGACGGAGCTGCAGACTCTGAAGGTAAAAGATTGACTGAACAGCAGCTGAGAATAGCCGTGCTTGTTTTTTTTTAATCACTAGATAAACGTACAGATGGGCCGACCTGCCGAACCTTAATATCATTTGTCGTTCTTTCTGCTCCAGATGAAGCTCTCTGTGCAGGAGTCGACTCTGGCCCGTGTGCAGGCAAACCTCAGAGACTCCGAGGAGGAGGTTCGGTCTCTGAAAGAAACTGTGGCCCAGCAGAAGGATGAAATTTACGCTGGAGAGATGGAGCGCAGACGGCTCCACAACACCATACAAGAGCTCAAGGCAAGTTTGCCTCTGTTACCAATAAAAGTGCCTCTTCGTGTGCACAAATTGTTCTTTAAATCCAATACTGACTCTGATAACAAAATGTGAATGTTTTCTCTGTTCTTTGGTTATTTTTGGTGTGTGCTGGTCACATTTGTCCAATCATCCTTCGGATTTTGCTGCAACCAATAAAATATTAAGTTTCAGTCTCACTCTTGTATCTCTTGCAGGGTAATATCAGAGTGTTCTGCAGAGTGCGTCCTCTGGTAGGTGGAGGCTTTCCCAAGCATATACAACTCGCCGCAAGTGACAATAAAGCGATAACGCTGGCTAAAACCGAGGAGGTAAGAATGAGGAGCGCTTAACGCATGTTTAAAGAAACTATTGGCTGTAGAGGATTTGATTTCTGTGAGTTAACATGTGTAATTTAGTGTCAGTGTAGATGCGCTTAACAAAGAGGAAGCACAAACAACCAACTGAACGGAGTTTTTGTGCTTTTCAGTCTCACACGGGCAAAACTGCTGACACTCAGAAGAATTACAACTTCAGCTTCGACCGTGTGTTTGGTCCTCGGGCCTCCCAGCAGGAGGTGAATATC